TCTGAGCTCTTCAGGCGGTTCCTTTGACCTCATGATTCTCATTTGTTCTGACATGCACTGTGAGCTGTAAGGTCTTGTATAGACAGGTGTGTGGCTTTCCTAATCAAGTTCAATCAGTATAATCAAACACAGCTGGACTCGAATGAAGGTGTAGAACCATCTCAAGGCTGATCAGAAGAAATGGACAGCCCCTGAGTTAAATATATGAGTGTCACAGCAAAGGGTCTGAATACTTAGGACCATGTGATATTTCAGTTTTTCTTTTTTAATAAATCTGCAAAAATGTCAACAATTCTGTGTTTTTCTGTCAATATGGGGTGCTGTGTGTACATTAATGAGGAAAAAAAATTAACTTAAATTATTTTAGCAAATGGCTGCAATATAACAAAGAGTGAACAATTTAAGGGGGTCTGAATACTTTCCGTACCCACTGTATATATATACTGCATGTATAGACACATTACTTTATATATAACATATTTCAAAAAGTGCGTTTTTTTCCTAAAATGTGTCTATATCATAGTTTAAAAGTATGCAATTTTTTTATAAATTTTTATTTCAGTTTTACTTTGTTTTTTTTAGTACATCATATTAAACTAAATGAAAATGAGAAATGTAGAAACAATAAAATAAGCTTAAGTGTGTTACAATATTTTATTTTAGTTGAAGTTTATTTTATTTCTAGTAACGAAAATGTAAAATGTTTTTTTTAATGATTTTGGTAGTTTTAGTTATTATAATAACCCTGAGATATAAATATTGTGTATTTATTGTGTATTTATTTACATTTTCGTTTCTAGAAATATAATAAGCTTCAACTAAAATTATTAAATTATTTAACTTAAGTTGTATTATATATGATATAATAATAATACTAATATTATAAATATAGTCATAGTATATAAAATAGTACTAAAAGCAGCATTGGAATGTCTAGGGACTTCACTTATATTTTTATCAGTTTTATTTTACATTTGATTACCTTTGTATTTTTCTTAATTTCCCAATGCTTACATTAATATTTAATATTGTTAGTATCAAATATTAAAGTAAGCATTGAGAAATTAGATACCTTTAAAAATTTTAATTTTATGAATTCTTTGATTCTCTGCTTAAAAAAACAAACAAATGGATGTTAGGATATGCTTTTATATGCTTGATCAAAAGTAATACTTTTCCTACAAGAAAAAAAGAAAGTATATATTTAAGTAAAGTATTTCTGAAACTGCTATCATAGTAATCCGACACACGTGTGTGTGTGCGTGCGTGTGTGAGAGTGTGGGCGTGTGTGTGTATGTGTGTGTGCGTGTGTGAGTGCGTGTGTGTGAGTGCGTGTGTGTGTGTGAGTGCATGTGTGAGTGTGTGCACGTGTGTGTATGAGTGTGAGTGTGTGCGAGTTTGTGTGTGTGTGTGTGTGTGTGTGGGAGAGAGAGAGAGAGAGAGTGTGTGTGTTGTGTGTGCACCTGTGTGGCCTTTTCCAGCTCCACCCGGGTCAGTGAAATGGTTCTCTGTGTGTCTGATAACTGTGACTGCAGACGGCGGTTCTCCCTGGACATCTCCTCGAACAACTGAAACACACACACGGATACAGACATAAAACACACACACACACACACACACACACACACACACACACACACACACACCTCCTGCCAACACAATCAACCAAACCACAAACCCCTGCTGACCTTCTTAAAGTCCCTGGACTCTGATCCCCTCGTGAGAATACAGTCATTCAAGACCAAATCAGACCTGAGAGGAAGGAAAAACCGAGAGAGAATGAGAAGGACTCAGACGTCACCAAACTAAGTGAAAGGTCAAAGGTCAGACTTGTACCTGCTGCTCGTGTGTCTGTCTGTCTGCATGAGGAAAACAAAATATTTCACGTCAGCAAGAAACCATAAACACATGCAAAAACTTAAAGGGGTCATAATGATGCGATTTCAATTTTTACTTTCTCTGTGGAGTGTTACAACCTCTTGGTACATAAAGAAGATCTGTAAAGTTGCTAAGACTAAAGTCTCAAATACAAATAGATATTCTTTATAAAAGTTAAGAGTTAACCACGCCTACCTAAAACGGCTCGTTCTAACACGCCCCCACATACCTACGTCACGATGTGGGAAGATTTTCATAACGCCGCCCAAATGTTCACGCAAAGAAAGAAGGCATAACTTTTATTCTCACTGTAGTATTGTTGCAGCCGCCGCCATGAAGACGCTGTGTGCTTCGTTGTGAAAGCGAAACTACTTTGTTTGGTCTTCCAAAAGAGGACGATATCCGCTTCGTCATGCCTAGAGCTGATCCGTGCTGGTCGCTGAGGAAATACATCAACTTTCACTGTGGACAAAGCGGAGTCCAGCCCCCTTCAGCTCACTCTATCCCGGCCTCAGTGCACGCTAGGCCGCTGTGCTTTTCGTTGCCAATGATGATTCAAACGCGAGTTTTGGGCAGTGTAGAGTAGTTGTTGTTTGTCATTTCTCCGATCACAAATGCAGACAGAGTTTTATGTTTACGCGGCGCGATGCAACGCAACATGTAAAAAGACAGTATAAGTCATTATAATCAGTAATTATGTCCTCACTGGATGCAACAAATGCCTCGTTTATAATGGGTTTTAATGTTGTCTCGTCGCTCCGGCCGGGACACGGCATCACAGTATGTGAGGGGCGTAATATTTACGTCTCACGCTTGAGGTATTCGGCCAATCACAACGCATTGGATAGCTGACCAATCAGAGCACACCTCGCTTTTTCAGACCAATGAGCTTTGTAAAAATCGACACGTTTCAGAAAGGCGGGGCATAGAGGAGAAACAATAATGTACAGTATGTGGAAAATAATGTGCTTTTTAACTTTAAACCGCATAAACACATTTCATTACACCAAATAATGTTCTTTTTAGCAGCATCATATGACCCCTTTAACAAATTACACTAATCAGACTAAATTATATGCAAATAATTAAAAACATTAAAGACACATTTTGACATTAAAAATATCTATTTTTTAAAATGTATTGTATTATATACATAATTATCACATATAATTTAATATATAAAATAATAATATATATTTTAATACATTTACAATTCTTATACAGTAATATTGAAATATTACATAATTATATCATATTATATTGCTATTGTAATATGTGCTATTACGGCCAATCAGTAAAAAAAAAAAAAAAGATATATATATGTATGGATGGATGTGGGATCAGTAAGATTTTTAATGTTTTTTAAATGGAGTCTCTTGTGCTCATCAAGGCTGTATTTATTTGATCAAAAATACAGAAAAAAAAAGTAATATTGTGAGATGATATTTCAATTTCTTATATTGGTTTTCTGTTATAAAATATATTGTAAAATGTAATTTATTTCTGTGATCAAAGCGGAATTTTCAGCAACATAACTCCAGTCTTCAGTGTCACATGATCCTTCAGAAATCATTCTGATATGTTGATTTATTATCAGTTTTTTTTTAACTGTGATACTTTTTTCTGGATTCTTATATGAATAAAAGTTAAAAAGAACAGTATTTATTTAAAACTCCAAACATTTGAATAAATGCTGTTTTTTTATTTTACTTTATATTCATAAACGAATCCTGAGAAAAGTATCACAGTTTCCAAAAAACACGAAGCAGCACAACAGTTTTAACACTGATAATAAATCAGCATATTAGAATGATTTCTGAAGGATCATGTGACACTGAAGACTGGAGTAATGATGCTGAAAATTCAGCTTTGATCACAGGAATACATTATATTTTAAAGTATATTAAAATAGAAACTGTTATTTTAAATTGCAATAATATTTCACAAAATAACAGTTTTTTTCTGTATTTTTGATCAAATAAATGCAGCCTTGATGAGCAGAAGAAACTTTGATAAAAAAATATAAAAAATCTTACTGATCCCAAAGTTTTGTACGGCAGTGTGTGTGTGTGTGTGTGTATATATATATATATATATATATACACACATGTATACATACATATATATACACACACACACATGTATACATACATATATATATATATATATATATATACATACATATACGTGTGTGTGTGTGTAAATAATATTAAATAACAATTAAAATAATAATTTATATTTATTATTATTATTAATACATTTAATAATAATTAAAATAATAATTTTATAATTGCATTAAATATCTAATGTATATACACTAGTAAACATTTACATTTAAAATAAATAGTTAAAATGTTAACGTAATGTAAATATATATATATATATTCCCTCAAAGTCCTATCACTGTCAATCAATTAAAAAGTGCATGCTGATCGGTCAGACCTGTGGGTCCCGCCCACTGCTACTCTCCTCCTCTCCACTGGGGTCGTTGTCATCGCTCTGAAAACACAAAAGTAAATGTTTAAATGCAGGCTGTATTTCTGAGCTCCTGCTTCAATCACGAGTCCTCGTCTTCCTCACCTCTCCTGTTTTCCCTCTCCTCCGAGCTCTGGCTCTCCTGCGCTCCCTCGCTCGCTCCTCGCTGTCTGCATCTGACACACAATGCAGAAACAGTGTTACAGACAATGACACAACTAAACACTTCAGTGCAGTATCATGACTTCCAGTGATAAGGGTCAAAGGTGAAAGGTCACCCTGTCTGTCAGGACGTGGAGCACCAGGAGGGTGTGTGAGTCCCAGCAAATCTGACTTCTGCAGGTTAGCAATACGAGACCGCCAGCTCACTTCCTGCGCAAAAATAAATAAATATATTACTGTTCATTTAACATAAATAAATGTAAATAATAATGATTAATAATATATATTGCATGTATAAATGTTGATATATAAATATACATAAATTATGTATTTTGCAAATAAGTAAACATTATTAATTATATATATATATATATATATATATATATATATATATATATATATATATATATATATATATATATGCTCAATTTGGTTTAAGTCAGGGCTCTGGCTGGGCCATTCAAGAACAGTCACAGAGTTGTTGTGAAGCCACTCCTTCGTTATTTTAGCTGTGTGCTTAGGGTCATTGTCTTGTTGGAAGGTAAACCTTCGGCCCAGTCTGAGGTCCTGAGCAGTCTGGAGAAGGTTTTCGTCCAGGATATCCCTGTACTTGGCTGCATTCATCTTTCCCTCGATTGCAACCAGTTGTCCTGTCCCTGCAGCTGAAAAACACCCCCACAGCATGATGCTGCCACCACCATGCTTCACTGTTGGGACTGTATTGGACAGGTGATGAGCAGTGCCTGGTTTTCTCCATACATACCGCTTAGAATTAAGGCCAAAAAGTTCTATCTTGGCCTCATCCGACCAGAGAATCTTATTTCTCACCATCTTGGAGTCCTTCAGGTGTTTTTTCATGTGTCTTGCACTGAGGAGAGGCTTCCGTCGGGCCACTCTGCCATAAAGCCCCGACTGGTGGAGGGCTGCAGTGATGGTTGACTTTCTACAACTTTCTCCCATCTCCCGACTGCATCTCTGGAGCTCAGCCACAGTGATCTTTGGGTTCTTCTTTACCTCTCTCACCAAGGCTCTTCTCCCCCGATAGCTCGGTTTGGCCGGACGGCCAGCTCTAGGAGGGGTTCTGGTCGTCCCAAACGTCTTCCATTTAAGGATTATGGAGGCCACTGTGCTCTTGGGAACCTTAAGTGCAGCAGAATTTTTTTTGTAACCTTGGCCAGATCTGTGCTTTGCCACAATTCTGTCTCTGAGCTCTTCAGGCAGTTCCTTTGACCTCATGATTCTCATTTGCTCTGCCATGCACTGTGAGCTGTAAGGTCTTATATAGACAGGTGTGTGGCTTTCCTAATCAAGTCCAATCAGTATAATCAAATCAAACACAGCTGGACTCAAATGGTAGAACCATCTCAAGGATGATCAGAAGAAATGGACAGCACCTGAGTTAAATATATGAGTGTCACAGCAAAGGGTCTGAATACTTAGGACCATGTGATATTTCAGTTTTTCTTTTTTAATAAATCTGCAAAAATGTCAACAATTCTGTGTTTTTCTGTCAATATGGGGTGCTGTGTGTACATTAATGAGGAAAAAAATTAACTTACATGATTTTAGCAAATGGCTGCAATATAACAGAGTGAAAAATTTAAGGGGGTCTGAATACTTTCCGTACCCACTGTATATATATATATAAATATAGAGAGAGAGATTTTTTTTTTTTGTCCCCCCCACACAAAATATATGCATATATTTACACACAAACACACAGGTAATAACTGTTTCCAAACAGGTTTCTCAAGGTTTCATTCTCTTCCTCTGCTATTTTTCAGACATCAATTCAGTTGTTTAGTTTTAGAAAGTCAATTACATAAAAAAACCACATGCTTGACCTTTAACCTTTACATTTCTGACTGGTTTATCTCTCCGAGTGCAGAACAAATGCAGATATTTGGATTAAACTAAACCTTTCTCACCCCTTCCTCTCCCTTCTTTTGCTTCCCTTCTTTCTCCTCCTCTTCTTTCTTCTGCTCCTTCCCCTTGTTTTCCGTCTTCATTGTCTTCTCCGCTTCCTGCAGGTCTGTGAGAGTAACACCCTGAAGAGCAAATACAACGGTCACACGGAGATGTCTGGACTCCAGCTGCGCACAAACGCAAAACCGCTCTACACACGTTTGCCCTGTGTTAAGGTCAGAGCTCAGGATTAAAGGTCATACAGCCTTAGACGCACCGCCCACTGACTGTTTAATGCATATTCCACATGAAAATCCCCCAGCACTTCTGAGAACGCACCAATCGCTGGATCTATCATTGTGATATCACTGGTTTCTGATTTACCTGTCAATAAATGTTACATAAAAACAAACAGAGTTGTGATTTGGTTGATTTGCCAATCTTGGTCAATTTTCCAGTCAAAATGGGTGTTTAAATGAGAAAAGCAGTGTTACTTTATTATTGATACACTACTATACAATTTATTAATTTTTAAATTTTTTTTTTTTTTACATATTTTCAAAAATAACAGTATATAATAGTTTTAGTAATTACTGCATGCGAGTTAATATTTTCCTTTTTTTTCAATATTTCTATTTCAGTTAGTTAATATTATTAATTATGAATATTTAGCCAAAGTAATATTTTTTTATTTTTAAAATACGTTTTTATTTTTATTTCAATCAGTGAAAATAATTTTTAAGAGTCACAAGGCCAGACTGACCTGCGTGGAGCGTCTGGACTGACGAGCATGTCTGGATCGGGCTTTTCTCTGAGCTTCTGCTTCCTCGTCACGCACTGGAGTCAGATAGGACCTACACACACACACACACACACACACACACACACACACATAAACGCAAACTTCAGCCAATGAAAACAATGAAAACACAGCTAAAACTAGCTGTAGAAAAACTGGTGTAGATGGGTTAAACAACCAGCTGCTGGACCTTGATCAAGCTATTTAGAGCTGGTAGACCATCTTGTACCAACAATAAACTGATTATTAAATATTATAATATAAATAAAATGTATTATTATATTACATATATATATATATATATATATATATATATATATATATATATGTGACCCTGGAGCACAAAACCAGTCTTAAGTCTCTG